GATGGGAACATGTGCTGACATGACAGAACTGTTGTTGAATTTAACGCATAAGCTGATAGATGAATATTGCACTTCTGTGTCTTGTTTAGTAACCTGATCACTGGATATTTACTGAATTAATAAGATGGGTTAGCTTAATGCTATGTGTAAGGGAATAAGTAGGAATGACACTAATTCAAGCAAAACCTCTTTCAGTAAACACACAGGAGTGATTATTTCATATTGAATAACCATTACCCTTAAGGAAGCTGGTCAAGGTTTCTGTGCAGCCTTACTGACTTAGACTGTTGAGGGCAAATGCGTAAGTCTGACAAGGAGGCTTTTGGTTAGATTAAAAAGAAAAACCTTTTTCCAGAGAAAAGGAGACAGTTGGGGAACTCTTCACAGCAGGTAATGCAGAGATCTAAAGAAACTAGTCCATCCTGAAGTGGTTTTGGACAAAGCAAAAGTGTGCATAGACTTTACATCTTTTTTTTTTCCAGTGCTACTACTGTAAATGAATTTCCATCTTAAACAATACAGAAACTTTCAAATCCATGTACATCCATTGACTACCAGTCACGAGTTTCTGAAAAGAAGAATCACATCTGAGATGAAGTTGGACGCCTCTGAGACATAAAATACACAGGCTATGTACATAATTGATTGATTTGGCCTCAAATATTCAGATACCTGAATAGCAAAGGTGATACAGCCAGCCTTTGCTAGCTGTTTCACCAGTGCTTCTAACACTAATGGTGACAGAGAAATGGAAATCTCTTGCTTCTTGTAGATGCTGACTGAATTACTTCTTTCTTGTTTTTTGTGCCTTTATTTTAGTGCATCAAGCCAAGTGGGCTAGTACTGGATATGATGTGGGTATTCTTTGATGTGCCAAGTTTGAATTGGAGACCACTGATTTTTTTTTTTTTATTTCCCCTCCCTGTAATCATTAAGGGAAAAAGCTTTGTTTTGGAGTTGTAAGAGATTGCTGTCTTTTCCTAACTAAGCCCACCAGGCAAGCCTTCTCTCTTTTTTGTGTCTAAGTATGTTGTTGGTCAGTAGGAATTGCTCATCAAGGTGAATCCAATAGAGTGTGATAATATGATAATGCATCAGGGCCTGCTTTTGGGTTTTTTAATTGCTTCCTTTTTTTTTTAATGAATAAGGATGACGAATTTGACTCTGCAAACTGACCTGGAGATTTACATTAGCAAATTAACAAGAATGCTTGCTTATGGATTACTAGATCACTTTATAACTTCATGATTGAATTCAAACTGCCAAACTAAATTTCTTCTCGCTAAGAGTCTAATCAAAACCATTCGAGGAACTCTTGCCTGAGAAATTGTAGATATAAACAGCAATTGCTTATTTCAGTAAACATACTTGTTCACTGCCAAACTAATCACGTTATTGCAGATGGAATCCCTGTATGCAGCTTTTCTTCACTCTCGCATTTAATTGACAGCAAGATGAATCATATCTATATCAATTGCTAGTGCGCTAATCACTTAGCTTATATTTCAGTGCTAATCTCTATGCTCTTGCTATACCAGTGACTATCTGCTTGGGACTCTGGTCTGTGTTTTACTATAAGCCATTTGTTGTAAATAATGTGTTTAAAAACAAAACAAAAAATATAGTCAAAACCAAGTGATGCTAGTACTTCTTGAACTCTGAATTTTGTTTTTCTTGTGTTCTCTTATTTTCCTGAAGTTAAGTTGTACACTTTGAAAATAGTCACTTGTTTTGCTGAAGAAGGCATGTCTGGAAATGTAGTGCAAAACTGATTTTGAGATGGGGATTTTCACTTTTTTTTAAAGCTTAAGAAAGTTATGTAGCTGAACTTGATCAACCAAACCACATGCAAGACTAAGCCACGGGTGGTTTTGGTCTTCACAATTTCTTTCTTGTCACTGTTGTCTCCAAGTCACAGGGTGATAGTTAGGGAAGCTAGGAAACTGGCATCAGCTGTCTGTATGCTCTGTAACGATACAGCACTAAAAAGCATGCTCAATGCAACAGCTTACTGAGGAAAAACCAGAGACGGTGTAGGAAGCCAGGCAGTAACACTTGCTACGCAACCCAGAAAGCTGCAGCATGTCGCAGTTTTCAGGTATTCAGGGGGAAAAACTTCTCATGCGCTGCTTTCTCATCCCCTTTCGGGAGGGGAAGCTTTGCAGAGCTGCTGCCGGAGGTGGTCAGAGGGGTCACAGCAAAGCTCTGCAGAAGGAAGGGGCAGGAGGGACGTCTTTACAGCCGCAGAAGAAGGAGTGAAGACAGGAGCGGCTGGATCCTCTCAGTGTCCCCCTCCTTGTGCCTGTCGCTCTCTGGAAAAACGCATTCTGGAACTGCATCGGTGTACTGTACTTTAGGGATATAAAAGTTTCTACCATACTTTAGGTGTATAAAAGTTTTAGCACTGCTAGAGACGAGTAGGCTGGGGAGAGAGCAGGGCAAGAGGCAAAAGTGGGTGGGAACATACAGAATTCATTGGTCAGAAGAATAACGTGGAAGCAGAATTTCTTTGAAGTGCCAGAACTTTGTACCTCATCTGGTGGCAAAAGTGGGTGGGAACATACAGAATTCATTGGTCAGAAGAATAACGTGGAAGCTGAATTTCTTTGAAGTGCCAGAACTTTGTACCTCATCTGGTGATCTTTGCCAGCTGCCACATGTTAATATGTAAACACATGAGAGCGAGGGGAGACTGTAATTGGGAGGCTAATCAAGATTGATCTCTCTGCATCACTTTGACTCAGCCTCTCTGCTGTCTGTGTGTGTCTTGTAATTCTTTGAACTCCTGGGGCTGGCAGCACCTATGTCTCTATTTGAGGGTTGCAGTGGGTTTAAACAACCAAGCTTCTAATTAGGAGACCTTTCATTACTGTGCATTTGTAGTCGGTGAGTAAGCCTGGGCCACAGTTGGTTGAGTGCTCAATGCGGCTGCTCATGTGCCTGGAGGTGAGCCCATGCCCAAGGACCTTGCTGGGCCGGGGTCTAGGGCTGGCTGGGCTGGAGGTGACCCCAGCGGAAACCACAAGCACCGTGCTTGGGAAAAATCAGTGGTAATACTATAGCTTGAGTCATAATTTGCCAAATCTTGGTTGGTTTAAATGTTAATTTTCACTTTTATTTCTGTGAAGGTATAAATCCGTAATATAAAGTGAAGCACACTTTGTCTCATTGATTGAATTGTAACACACGTGCAATGAAAGTGATTGCTGCTATCCTAAGTAATTTGCATGAGCTACTTGCATTATGGTCAATGTAATCCACAATTACAGGATGAACTTGATCATTAATTATCTTTTGAATATGCACTTCCTTTAGACATGGCTACTAGTTATTAGATTTTGTTTTCAGTTGTATAGTAGTGATGGGAACACTGAGAAATAATGCATTTCAATCATAATACTGCTGAAGAATGAGCAAATAATTTTGAACAAAAATATTTAGGATGTATGCACCATATAATTGAGTTCAGGCTTCTTGTGCGTGGTAGGATCGGCTGTTAATTTACAGCAAGAATCGCTTTTACCTTTAACTCACAAGGTCTGCTTACAGAGCTCTATGACAACCAGAGAACTGCTTGCTAAAGAGGAACCACACGTTTGGCTAGCTGCTCATGGAGACCCGGTCAGCTGCGCATGTGAACAGATGGTGGCAAGCGACCGAGTTACCTTTTGTCAGTCAAGCTATTTTAATACGGCAGGTGTATATTCCCTCCCCATGTCAAATGCCAGGGAAAGTGGCTGGAGTTCCTAAAACCTGGAGGTGGCTTATATTAGCGGAGAGCTTTTCGCAACCGCAGTGGTCTAGGAGCATGTATCTGGGAAACCCAACATGTGGGCTGACTCACAATAAAACACCGAGGCAGGGTGAATGGTGCTGGTGCTGGTGTGTTTGCAGTGTGGGAATGGGCTTCGGAGCTAGTTCTGTACTTCACTGTTAACAGTGCAATAAGCAATAAAGTTATTTCTATAACTGAACAACTTGCCTAGTTCAGTTTATTCAAGGAATGTTTGGAAATAAAAAAATGCGAGAGCTTCCTTGCACATTTTAAGCAGTGGATGGAAAGAGAGTAGACAAATTGTTTTAAATGATAGTAAGAAAGTAGTATTTTGTGTTTTGTCACTTGAATTTGTATTAGTTTACTCGTTCCTGTTTAGGAGATCTGGACACAAGCTATTTTACATCAGTTAAGTCTGCCATTTGGACTGAAGACTGGATCATGCTCAGACCTTAGACTACAGGGTTTAAACAGGTTTTTCTTATGTTGAAAGTGTTTATAATTTTCAGGAAACTCTGAAAACGTTAATTCTCAATTTCCTGTTTGTTTATTTTGATCCGTTCTGAATCTGCCAATTAGTTCTTCTGGCCTGGTCTGGGTAGTGTAGGCGTTTATTTGTTTTCATATATGTATTTCAAATCAGTAGTGGTTAAAACAGTTGCTTTGGAAGTGCTAGGTACTAATAAAAGCACTCCTCTTAATGAAACAAAATTCAGAGCACCAACATCTGGTTATTTCTGAAAGAGCTGGCTCAAGCGATGTTCTCAAGGTCGCAGGGGGTCTGCTGCCGAGCTGGGATGTGCCACTGGCTCGGTGGCTGGTACCTCGACTACCCTTCTTATATTGTAAATGCAGATGCTTTGCCAGGTACGCTTAGGTACAAGTGATTGTTGTGGAAAACATGGGTCCTTTGAGTCTTAAAAAAATAGTGGTGAGAGAAACTCACTGTCTAGTTTTGTGCAGAACGAGGGACAATGGTGAATGAGGAAAACTTGGGAGGAAAAGAGCTGGAACAAAAAGCAAAGCTGGAGCTGAAAGCAAAGAGAAAGCAAGCATGACTTTTGTGGTCTTGCATCCTATTTAACTGTCTGAATAACTATGATATCTGCCTACTGCTCATAATATGTGAAATTAGAGTGATGAATATGAACCCACAGTGATGGCTCTCATAATGTTGTTATTATGAAGTATGTGACCAGTAATAGGGTTTGGGGATTCCTGTGACTGTAAAGGTTTTCAGAATTCAGTTTAAATTAATGTTAACTGAAGAGAGCCTTCAGAAACTGGTTAAAACCTTAAAATTTAAACCATGGTCCATATTAGTTGACTGAGCAAGCATGTCAGCCTTTCTCGCCACGGTCACTAAATGGAGAGCAGCAATGGCTCGTGGAATATCAGACAGAGTACTAGAGAGATTCTCAAAGCCATTCCAATAAAATCTGAGCTTGTCTGGAAACTGCCACATCATTAAGTTTTGTCACTTTAAAGAAAAGTTGTATTTTAGCATGCTGTAGGATATAAATTACTTTCCTTAAAAGATTTTTAAAAAAGGATATGGAAGTAGTGTTTCTTTAGTGTTTTAGTATACTATATTTGACAGTAAACCGTATCATCTCATGAACTTGATCAAATTTGAGCTTAGAGTCATGAATCAATTTTAAAATATAAAATGTACATTCATCTTTAAGTCCTTTTGCTTTGATGGATTCTTTTGGTAGAGAGTTGAGAGCCTAACCATGTGTGTGTTTATTAAAACACTTCCCAAGCATCCTGTAACATTTGACATAGCAGAAGACTATTCCTAAAAATAATTAATGTAGGTAGTATCACTTGAGTAAGGTATTATATTGAAGTAGGCAAGATGAAATAAATGTGTGCTAACCCTTTATGGTTTTAATACCGTTTGTTGCTCCATAACGTTTTAATACAATATTATTATTAAATATAGGTAAAGTGACTGGGAATATTTGAGTTTACTTTTATAGAGAATGCTGTGATTTGGTTGTGTGTGTATGTGTACACATGTTTGTGTGTACACAATAAATACAGATCCTTATGTGTTGTTTTTAATCTTTGTAGGGTACCTTTGTACGTGTTCAAGCTGCAGAAGCTGTGACTGTTCCAATAAAGAACCATTTCCCCACAAGAGAACAACAAATTTTGGCACTGCAAACCACAAGTGAATTTGATGTCCTTGTTATAGGTGGAGGAGCAACAGGATGTGGCTGTGCTTTAGATGCAGTCACTAGAGGTAAGGCTTGAAAATTTAATTTCATTCTTATTCTTCAATTACATGTTTTATAATAAATTTGTCAGATTGGCTTGTCAAAAGTACTTGAAGGTAGAGAAGGTGTACTCTGAATGCCTGGTTATAAAACTTCCTTCTGTTCTCAGAAGCTAAAATGAACTTGAAGAAAAAATGTCATTGCATTTTGTTGTTTCAGCAGAGTCTTTGTTGTCTAGGTGCTTGTTGTTTTAACATAAACCTTTTTGCTAGATCTTCTTGGATGGACTTCTCATTCTCTGTTGCTCCTTGTTTGTGCAGGAGAATGTCTGCAGCAAAGAGAAGACAAGACTTGCACAGCAGTTTTAGCAACTGTTTTGAAAGGGCCAAGCATGAATTCTAGACGAGGCACAGTGGCTCTCCAGCTCATATTTCTTATAACACGAGATATCTGCAACTTCTGCTAATGCATTGTAGCTGCTTAGTATGTTGCAGGTTTGAAGTCTGTTTGGATTTTCAATGAAAGGTACTAGCACCATTAGTCTGAAGGTACATGCAGTAGATCTGTGCTCCAATTTATCCTCTTTTGGGGGATTAGCTGTGTAACTGGTTTAAGAAGCTCTAAAGCATCAGAATTCATGTTAGCTTTATGCATAGCCTTAACTTAGGGAAAGCTGATGGTAAAATGAGTTTAAGCTAATGCTTTTTACATGACTTCTGCAGGAGGATGAGAATGTGTGTGGTGACAGTCAGTTGTTGCCCAGTAGATGTGCAGATGTTGCCCAATAGCTTGTGCAGTTGGTCAGACATGTGAAGAACTCTATTCAGAGAGTGAAAAAGCAGGACGCTAATGCCCACTCTGTGTCATCCACCTCACACAGTAACTTTGGCCAGCAGGTTCTAATCAAATTTGACAGTTCTCAAAGAGAGTAAGTCATTTTACAAGTTTAATGAAAATAGATCTTCAGATACAAAGATGAGAATGCATGGGTACTGCTTCTGTGGGAGAGGCTGTAGCATCAACTCCTGTTCTATTAAAATGCTATATTCCCCCAGAATATCATATTTTTATCCAAAAAGCTACGTAAAAGATTTGTGAGAAAAGCTTGGAATCTGTTCTCTCAGTTGTTGTTTTCAGTACAATCAGCCAATGAGAGGAAGAACCAACATTCCTTAGTTTCTGTGTTTGTAGACCTTTTTTCTGGTTTTGGAACTAAAATGGAAAAAAAAAAATACAGTGTAAAACATAGTAGATAGCCATAAAGTTCTTCAGGTTCCTTAACCTGTAGATATACCTCAGAAATAAGAGGCAAAACCTCACTCCAGGAGTGTTTGTAACTTGATTTGGAAAATACTTGTCCAGAAGGTATGATAGTTTTGAAATAGATAAAGCAGTAAGGTCTGCACCATTGGTAGATACATACAAACTCAAATCTGGTTATTAATTTTTCTCATGTATTACTAAAGATAACTTGGGATCTTTTCAATTCTGCTTCTGCTATATTGTGGTAGAAAATGCAGTTGTAAAGCGTACAGAAATTATTATAGGTAATCTATGTTTATCTTTCTACTAGGTATTCTGATTATATCAGTAGATTTCTGAAGTGTGAAATATTCCTAGGCATTTGGTTAATGAGTTGTGTATTGTTGCTGTTCATTCATGGAACTTGCTCTTTTATTATGTTTGCTTCGCTTAACAACAAATTTTGCTTTTCGTGTGTTTGATATATCTTCACCAAATTATTTCTGATTGTATCCATTAATCTTCAGTCACATTTGACAAAAATAAATTACTCTGATCTTTGGAAGTTACCAGTAATAATTAGATTTTTTTTTTTAAGGACATAAAAGTTTTGGGAGACCAATAGATGTTAAAATGTGTGTTCACCAACCAACAACGTAAAGCCCCCCTTAAAGAGGGCAAAGGAAAGACCCAAGGGACGACTTCTAATGCACATGATGCTCTTTTCCTTGGGTGTGCATCATCATGTTGTTGCTGTTGGTTTTGGTAGCAATTTCACTGAATTTAATTCACTTTTTGCCTTGCCTGCTTAACTTTAAAATTCTGCCAGTGATGCAGGGGGGTCTGTTATGCTAACTTCTGTAACACAGATTGTCCTTCCACATATGTTTTGTAAGTGAAAGATTGCCATGTACTTGTCCTATGGTGCTTTTCTTGGTCGACTTTACTTATGCTGGATGTTGGAAGTCGGTGGTCGTTGTCTTGTAGGTATGTGCCAAAGGATGTGGCCAGGCTGTTGGCTGTATCTTATCATTAAAAGGCATCTGTTAATCATCTGTTTCCTGCAACTCTTCCTTTCACCTGACTTCATCACATAACCCGATGTTAGTCTCATTCACAAAGAAGATGCCAGCACTTCCCTTGTACAAGGGACGTAGTGTAGACAGCATTGGGGTATGTGGTTTCGTAGCGACTTCAGTATGAAGCAGTGTGCCTTCACCCATGGAAAGCTTTTTCCTGGCCTTCAGGGTAACTGGGAACACAACTTGTGCAACAAACATGCCAACCTTGTTCCAAGTGTTTGTTAGAATAAGCATTATAATGTTCAGTTATAAAGCACTTTGTGTTCTGGATTTGCATGACCATCTGTGAGCCATGTGGTTATCCTTTCCTTGTGCTGGTCAAACTGTCAGCACCTGCCAGTGTCAGGGAACATACGTGTATGTTTTTGACTAAATGTTTTTCCGAAATACTTAGTAATATCTCATAACTAATGTTTTGTGTGTGCACGTCATATTCTCTGGTGAGCCCTCTTGAGTGGTGAGCATGCCCGTGGCTGGCTCTCCTCTGGTTTTGGGCACCTCTTAAGCAGACTGTAAGTCAGCAGACAAAGATGCCAGTTGTCTGCCTCTCTGGTATGCTGTTTAAATTGTTAGTGTGATAGGTTTAGAGCTCTCTGCTGCAAGGAGTTAAAAGTATTCATGAAAATATTCTGTTCCTGCCATGAATACGAACTATAATTTGCTTGAGGGAGCATGGCCCCTATAATGTACTGTAATGCCTTTCTATTGTGAAATATCCAGGTTTTAATGTGCTTCTGTTTAAGTTCTGTTTTGACTTTTCCCTTAGGAAAGAGGCTAAAATTTTTCATTACAATATAGACAGTGCACTACACTTTGAATACAAATTTATCCATGTACAGAGTAATTTTTCTTGTGATTGTCTCTACCCTAGAGAAGTGTCTTTAATGAATTACATACAAATTGTGTAATTTAAGAAGTTAATTTGGTTTTCTGGTAACACAGGACTAAAAACAGCCCTTCTAGAAAGAGATGATTTCTCATCAGGGACCAGCAGCCGGAGTACTAAATTGATCCATGGTGGAGTGAGATATCTTCAGAAGGCCATCATGAAGTTGGATTTTGAGCAGGTAATTGTTTATGCTGGTTGTTAAGCAAAAATTGCTAGTAGACACTTCCCCTATCCCAATTATAACCAAGTCTCCTTTTTATTTTTTCAATGCTTGACTGTTATATTCCACAGCCACTGTACATAGAGAGTGTCTTCTTCAGTTGAGCTTTCCAGACTAAGGAGATCAGTGCTGCTGCCTTTTGCTAAATTCTTTTACAGGCAATCTAATTCCCATACGTTGTAGACTGTGTATATTTTGGGGAAGGAAGGCAGGGACAGGGCTGACTTCAGAATAAAAAGGGCTTCCTACCTGTCATGATCAGAATTTGGGGGAGTTAATGGTTGTCCTGGAATGGGGAAAGAAAATATGGTAAATGAATGATTTATTTTGGAATGGGGAAAGAAAATATACTAAATGGGTGATTATATATAAATGCTTTTATGTATTCTTGTGTGGGTGGAAGTGCGATATTCTTGTTTTGAGAAATTGATTTGTCTTCCCATTGAAACCTCTCTAACTTAAAGTACAGAAACAGTGACTTCTCAGGGAAAAATATATAAAACATGCAGTTATCCAGCTGTAGAAACCAACCTTCTTTTGTGCCAAAGAACGACTTCATGTTGATTAATATTGATTGATTTGGGGAAGAACGCTTCTGCATTTGCAACTTGGAGTTAGTATGGGATTTAATTGTGGGAATCGGCACAGAAGCTATACTGTGGGATGAGTTCTAACTCTCCTTAAGTGCCTCCTGCCCATAGTTAGGAGTAACACGGCTTATTGCACTTTACATTCAGATGAAAAATTATTCAACTGACCTGCCAAGACACCAAAATGAAACTAGTGAAACTTAATTTTCTTGGGAAACATTTTCCTTAACTTTTGAATCTTTCAGCAAATCTCAGTGTGCCTTTGAAAGAACAGTAAAAATGATGCGAGGTATTTACTTTGATAAACAGTTTCTTATTAAATGTTGCACATGAAGACAAAATTGAGTAATGTGGGACTCATGTACACTTCTATTCTTCAGTACAAGATGGTGAAAGAAGCACTTGAGGAGCGTGCAAATCTGCTTGAAATTGCTCCTCACCTGTCAGCTCCTTTGCCGATAATGCTACCTGTTTACAAGTAAGCTCTGCTACAGTCTCTTTCCTCTACCACTGCTTTTGACAAGCAAGTGATTTCCCTGGAGAAGTTTCCAGGTGCCTCTTTCCAAGCATGTCTTTAAACCTGTCACAAGCTTTGTCCTCCAGGAGGTGAGATGTTGCCGTATGGTAGAAGCATGAAATTCTCTTACGGCACCGAGGTGCTATCTTGGACTTCAGCTGTTCAGTGCATTTCTACCGCCCCAATGGGGGCGAGGAGGGGAGTCTGCAGCTGGAATGAACTCTCATTCCTAGGATGTTATTTGCTATTCTTTCCAGTACATCCTTGTCTTCCACACGGGTTATCATAGTGTTCTTGGCAATGTGCTGTTTAGTCCATACAACCACCAGTGTTCAGTGCACTTGGACTTCCAAGTCCTTCCACAGGACATAACATTGAGAGAACAGTTTGCTTCTCGTATGAGAAAGAGACTTTAAGTGATTTGGGCTAGGTTTTTAGATCTGTAAGAACAGTTATTCACTATAACAGGCTACTTAGAGCAGTGAGTTTTTGCTGAATGATGTTAACGTATGGCTTTATTCCTGTCTTAGTAAAAGGGGCTTGTAATAGCTGGAGCTCATCTAGGTCAGGCGTCAGCTGCATTTATTTGGTCCTGTTTATGCAGGAGACAAAACGTGCGTTTGAGGAACCCTTTCAGCTTGCACGTACAGCCTGCTTCTTCCCTCAACACACAGCTTTAATATCTCACCTTACACTGAAGTACAAAAAGCCAGTTTGTGATCCTAATTCTAGAATAAAGAAAGCCTTGAATCTGCTTGACTAACTGCAGTGAGTAGATCAGTTGAAAACAGTAGTGAACAATACATAAATTCTTGCATATTTACATTATATTGTGACACTGTGAATTTTTATGATGGTACAAAGTAAAACTGGTGTAATACAACACACGGTGTTACTTAACATGTTCTATATTACAACAGCAGTGTGTGCATGCACTTTTAAATTTTTCTTATTTCACTTCATGGGGAATTTTTTTTTCCTGCAGATGGTGGCAGTTGCCATACTACTGGTTTGGAATAAAGCTATATGACCTCGTGGCCGGAAGTCAATGTCTGAAAAGTAGTTATGTTCTTAGCAAGTCAAGAGCCTTGGAGCTCTTTCCAATGCTACGCAAAGATGAACTTGTTGGAGCTATTGTCTACTATGACGGTATGTTGCCTTTCTGTGCTTTCATTATTACATTGTGCTGTGTTTTGGGGATGGGGAACACAAGTATGCAACTGTAGATCACGTACATTGACTTTCTAAAGGGAAGAACAGCAGCTTGAAGGATTCAACTTGCATCTTAAGCATTAATTTGGTAGATAAATTGTGTCTTTCACAACAGTAACTTACTGGATATAGGAGAGAATAAACTCGTTTTCTTGGCTAGTAGGTATAGTGATATGTGATGTAGTGATATTCTGGGGATTCCCTACAACTTTCCAGCTGTGCATGATTTTGGCTATGCACTTCTCAGACTGAACACTTCTTCTGAGGCATCATAAATCAGGAAAGTGTGATCGTTCTGGTAATGTTAAATGGTTTGCTGTAGCACTTCCACTGTGCAAATAACTTCAAACCTATCTAGATGACCTGGCTGCTGGTTGTGGTTCTTGCACTGGGTTGGATGAGGCCTGGAGGAGTTACTTTTTGTGTCACCAATAAAATTGGTTGCTCTGCAAAGACAGCGTTCGTTGTCGTTATAATCAAATACTAGAGATTGCTATACGACATGAATGGTTTCTGTTAAAACCCCTTTAAATAAAGGGTTATAAATTCATGAGAGGAAAAATGCCTCCAGCTTGCGTTATTTAATCTACTGTATCAGCTAGTTTTAGGTATATTTGTGTATTACACTTACACAAAATCAGTGTCTGAGTGGGAGAAAATAAAGATGCTTTCTGCACGTCTTCTGACGGTCATTCAAAATAGAACAGTGATTTAATAGAACTCACTGCAGTCATCTAGAAATAGCAATTTTCACGTTCAAAAGTGTTCATGTGTATTCACATTTGGAAGGAGAGTCACTCTTGTTTGTAATGTAAGAATGGATAAGCCTTTTTGCGTTGTTCTGTGAAATAAGCCTAGTAGTAAGTCTCTGGCATAGCTGTGTAGCAACAGGTGCCGCAGTCGATCTTCTAAGCAAAGAATTTCTTAATTCTGTCTCTGTCCCTTCAGTCTCTACAGATGCACAAGGCAATCTGAAACAAAATTGGTAAAGGTTTAGTTGGCTCACTTGACAAATGTCTACCTAGAAACTTTGCTAGTCCAGAATATTTTTTTTGTGTTTGTGTTGATGTACACGTGTCTTGAGCTTTATCCAAACTGCTATATCGCAATACTTTTCAATGTCATGCAGGTTACATCCCCAAACTGTCAGAACTTCAGTATTTAAAAAATACTGAACTTGTACAAATTCTAAATGTTGGAAAGTTCACTGCTTAAGTTTGAGTTACCAGGATACACTGTCATAATTGCTTTCTCAAATATTTTTTCTTTGCATCAGATTTCTACGCTGTCTCATGATGTGTTTTTAGTTAGATTGGTATTCCCTCTTCTCCAGTCCTCTTCCACTTCCCTTCCAAGACAGAAAGTTTTGGTAAAACTTTCTTGGTAATGGGGCCAGCTAGATAATATCAAAATGTCAAATGTGTTCAGGATAGCGGAAAAAGCCATAGATTCCTTGCAGGCTTGGAGGAGCCCTCCAAAGAATAAATAGCTTAAATACTGATTTACTTCACTAGTGGTACAGTTCTAGTTAGTTTTTACCTGAAGATGTAGTTTCTGACCTTCTGGCAGCCAGAAAGGTCTTCACAAAATTGATTGTAAAGGTAGTTCTTTTCCCTTTTTAGAACTGCATTTACACTATTCATCAGCTTATCAATAGGGGCTTTTGTGCTGGGAAGAAATAGGAGGGACTCTAGAAACACACTGGACTCAGGTAGTATTTATGAGGCTTCTGGCAAAAGCACATGTTGATAATTGCAAGTTGTCTCATACAGAGCCCAGCAGAATGAAAAAAAAAAAATTACGTACTTGTGCGGGAATATATATGTGTAAGTTCTTATTTGGGAGTAGGGTGAGATTTAAGTAAAAATTAAGTCCATCCTTTATCTCTGATGGAGACTGCATCTTCTCTTGTCTTATTTTTAAGGTCTAGAGGAAATAAGAGGTTATTTAGAAGCAAAATTTGTTATGGGATTATGTGGCATTTTTTGTACACTGTTACAAGAGCTGCTGTAAATAGCATACATAGAAGTAATTCAGATTTATTTTTTCATTATCATAAGCTATCCCTTAGACTGTTTTAAGGGATCCCAGGAGCATGCAAGAAGAACGAAGTGGTTCTCTTAACTCTAATTACACTTCTCGTAAGAGCACTATAACTTGAAATCTATTTATAATCTATTGAAGTTTTTTTCTGATTAAATAGATAGTTTGGATGTATCATAGCTATTTACTACTCCAGCATTCTAAAGATACACATTTACAAGATAGCCTTAAAATTAGTCTTCAAGTTCCTTGGACGAATAATTGTTTTAAACAGTGTTGCAATAGACGAAAATTCAGCACCAAGATACCATGTGGTCTTTTAGTGGAAAACATCTGTGCAGCAATACAGTGCAGAACTCTGTGAATGACTGAGATGTCTCTGATGGTTTTGTTGCCTTCCCAAGCAACAGGAAACAAACCCGCACTCTGCATGTTGGAAACAAAGAAGTGTCAAATAGAAAAAAAGGAAATGTACAAAATACTGAAGAGCAGCTTAATGGAGAAAGAGGATTGTGTAATCAGTCTTGTTTATTCATACAAGCTTCATAAAATCGGTAGCTGGCAGAGATGCTTAACAGTTCTCCTTCAGAGGAACAGCTGCAATGCTAGCAGGACTGTCGGAGACTAATTTGTTGAGAGATATCAAAAATAAACTTGAAGTTTTGCTGCCAGTGAAACTACTTGTTCATGCTGGTATGTCTGGCCTTATTTGCTTTACTTATAAGACTATAACTTAGTTATCCACATTTGTGTGCAAAATTTAAAGAAACGGTGTTTTGCAGAGAAAAAATTAAAAAAAGCTCTCAATGTTCCACCAAACCTCAATTTCCTAGAAGAATAAAGTGGTTCTGAAGGACTAAAGTATCAAATTTGTGAGTTCATAATAAACACTTCTGTGCTTTGAGGCTGCACCTAATCCAGAATAAAAACTTTTCAACTCAATGTTAAATCAATTCTTAACATGCCACATTCCAGAATTAAATTTTGTCTGTAGTGACTCCTCTGTAGGTCAGCCTATGGCCCATAGTGTAGATGGGCTCATGCTGTGTTGTAATACATTAATTATTTTATGGTGATCAATTTACCTGTGTTCTGGCCACAGTATGTTTGTTTTAAGTCCTAATGTTTCAGCAAGGACACTTTAGATCTTGTAAATTATTATACTTGAATTTTAATTATATACTTTCATGCCCTAAATTTGGAGGAATGGAGGAGAAAAGGGAAAGGGGCTTGAACTTAAAGTAGAGAAGAGGATGATAAGATTGAATTAAACTCCTTTTTAGTTCTTTCAGAAGGATTAGTCATAAAATAGAGCATTAAATAATGGTGAAAATAGATACATGTCTTAAAGTAGGTCATCTTTATCTTCTCTGTCTTCCCTAAATAACGAATAAATAACAAATAAATTGGCTTTTTAAGAATGGCATGTCTTAACTGATTCTGTGTGTGCAGTTAAATGTAGTTTTATCTTGTTTTCTTGCTTTTCTCTATTTCTGTCTCTAGCACGCTTTCTGTAGTTGTTAATAGCATCTACTAGCTGCATCTCATTCTTTAGCATGTTGATCATCACAAGCAAAGGGAAGAATTAAAAACATTCATTATATAAGTTACTCTTATTTGATAAAACCACCTGTCCAGTTATGACTTTGCTGGCAATGTTCTTTTGCAAAGGAAAGCAGGAA